GCATAAGATAAAAGATCTTTGGGTCTACTACAAATAACACCGTTTAAACATTTCTTTACAGGAATTAGAGACGCTGTTGTATATCAGACAGACTTGGCATGACTATAGGTTATCGTGGAATGCCACAGACTTAATGAAAATTAAACTTCGCGAACATTTTTTGGATAAACTTTGGCTGCCTGACATTCGATTTAGAAATATGAAGGACGTGAAGCATTTTAAGGACTTTGGTAGCATTAATATGAACCTTTACTCCGATGGAAGAGTTTACTTTAGTCAATTGTAAGATTTATGACCATGCGCTATAGTTTGTTCATCCGCTCAGTCTTTTTGAGTGGTGAATCAGGATGTGCATGTTTGAAACATTAATAATGATGTTGAATCTATAGAAATGGTCCTTCCACAAAGATTAAGGAAAAAATTGTTCTTCTTTTCCCAGGGCTCTTGTCAAAGTTAGTTGCCCGATGGATCTGCACAATTTTCCAATGGATAAGCAGACTTGTTATCTCAACCTATCCTCGTGTGAGTATTCAGGACCTTTCAGTCAGGGGATTGCATATAGACATAGTCTTATATATAAATCGGATGTAGACACATTGAAAAATTATTCGTGTAATTCGTTGACGATTCGTTTCAGATGCTTATGGGAAATCCCTGCTACGATTTTCCCTGTCAAAAAGTAAGACAATTGTGAAACCACTCCATCTTCCACAATTCAACTTAGTTGAAACCCGACGACTTTCTCAGGAAGACGAAGGTGCATAACTAGCCGTGGATAAGAGTTTGCATTTAGCATGTAAGATTGACTTTCTTCGCGGACTTTTAATTGTGTTTCTTTTTGACAGATATCGTTGGAAAAGTGTCGATTTCCCTGACTTTTCAACGACAAATGGGTTACTATATCCTTCAAGTTTACATACCCACAATTTTCCTTGTCCTCTTGTCATGGTTAGCGTTCTTAATGGAGGCTACAGACATCGCAAATCGTTTAGCGCTCGAAGTGACAATGATTCTGTCCATAGTATTCCTACTCGGTAACAGCAACAGTTCTCTCCCTCATTTATCCTATGCCAAAGCTTCCGACTTATTCATCATCGCATCTTTTGGATTCATTTTTATGGCATTGTTGCAGACGATGCTCACTTTTCATTTGGTCACGAAGAAGCCGTTTTTCAAATCCTTCACCAGTTGCAATGCTTTAGTAAGTCCTATATATTATTAACTTCTGCAAAAGAAACCCATTCGACAGGCTTATGCCAGATAATTATAGTTTCAATCTAGCTATTAAATTCACCGTCACCAGTCATTTGTTAAACTAGCAATTTACCAGAATATTAAATAATTATTTCACAATCTAAGTAATGTATATTAATAAATGTAACCTATGAAATTACAATTTACATTATATAATAACGTAAAGAATTCAAGCAATTTCATTGGTCGAGAGTCATGATCTATAAGAGGACAGACGCACGGAATGACGTCACAGCAATTTTCTTTTTACCGGTTTAATTTTGGATTTTTTTCAGTTTTATTATATAAACAAATAGATTACAATGAACCGTTGTCTGTTCAGTTATAGATACACGGTATGACGCCATATGTGATAAGAACAAAAGAGTGACCACTCGCCCCGGCGGCTCGTGGCCACTTTTTTTGTTCTTATCACATATGACGTCATACCGTGTATCTATAACTGAACAGACAACGGTTCATTGTAATCTATTTGTTAACTGGTTGATGGGGCAGACAATTTTATTTGCCAATACAGCTGCTAGTCACCTTGAGCTAGCTTGTAGTTTTTACAATCATGTTTGAACTAAATTCTAGGCAAGATTGAAGAAATATTTTGTGGTGCTCTTTCCTGGTTTTAAATGGAAAAGAAAAGACGAAAGAGAGCAGGTGGAAAATGCGGAGGAAGATGAGCGCACAGGTTATCTGGAAGACGTAGACGACGATGTCGTGTTTCAATCGTGCTCAACGAGCGAGAAGGAAGTCACAAAGTTTTGGTTTGATAAGATGTGTCTTGTTGCTTTTCCCACATTTTACATTATTTTCAATGTCTCCTATTGGTCTTACTACGCGTAGAAACTCATTACATTGCGTGGAATTAATATAATTTCAACATCTATCTTGTGAAAACATAGCGAGTAGCCTTCTTCTGGATTGCCTTTATTCACTTGCAATTGCTTTAATTGGGCTAATACAATTGTAATTTAACAGAAAGGTTCCTAAAATGATGTACTTCGACGCATACTACAAGTCTACAAAGTCTACAATCTAGGCCATTGCTTCACGCCCACGGTAATCAAACCTGCTCTGAGCTCGCGTTGCACTCGGAATATGAAAAAAGTTCACACAAATGCATGTACACATATGATTGAAAATTATAATAAATTTAATGATATATTGAGAAAAAATTATCAATTCCTACTGGTTTATATTAATTTTCACACTGTTCACAATTAATCCCCCAATTCACCGCCTTCATTTTTCACGCTTTCACTGAACTCTGAATTAATGTCCTTCATCAATTCTTGATTGCTCATTACATGTAAACACGTCCTTGCCATGGACTTGGCAGCTATCAGGGTAAAGCGGTGTGCTTCTTTCGTACCCGCTTCCACCTGAAACTCAGGGGTGTGGGTGATTTTATCTGCAACATAATATCTCGGATGTATTGCGGGTTTGAATTGGGAGACATTGCCCATATCTGTGGAGCCACCATGTTTTGCTGCTTGCTCATGGAGAGGTATGGAACACCTAATTCTGCTGCATTGCGTTGGTAAATATCAGCAAGTACGGAGTTTGTGATAAGATTTTTGTAAGGCAGTTTGGTCCAGGCAATTTCTACTTCACAACCTGCAAAGAAATCACGATTTTAACTGCTTTGTGTTCAAAGGATACCAAATGGATTTTGGGTTTAAAGAAAGTGTTGTAATGAATAAACCCACCTGTAGCTTGCGCTGCGGCTTCAAATATTGCATGGGTTTTTTCCTTCAAAACTTTGAGCTCTGGCATTGTTGGTGCACGAACCCCGCACTGAAGTCTCGACCTTGCTGGAATGATGTTGAAGGCGGTTCCACCTTCGGCAATAATACAATGAGCTCGCCATGATGGTTTCATATGTTGCCGCATCATGCTGATACCATTGTAAGCCGCAACTGCAGCGTCTAGTGCATTCACCCCTCCCCACGGTCCACCAGAGGCATGGGCTTCATGGCCCTTGTAAACAACTGACACAGAGCAACAGGCAATATGTTGGAAAGGCAGCATCATAAGGATTTGGGTGAGCCATCATAATGAAATCAACCTCATTAAAACAACCATTATTGATCATTTTTATTTTACCACCACCTCCCTCCTCAGCGGGCGTCCCATACACGATAACTCGACCAAGACCCAAAGAAGGTGAACCTTTTAATGCTGCTTGAATGCCTAGATTATAAACCAAATGATATTTAGACATGAAGCCTTTCATAATTAGTGATATTTGGAGCAATTTTGGGAGCCTTCTTCCTATAAGCATAGTTCCTCATTTTAACCATTTCTAGCCTTGGGAAAATTTCCACCTTTGCTCCTCCCTGAGAGGAACTGAATTAGCAGCCAATGTAAAACACAAACCTAATCCAGCTGCAACTCCAGCTTCAGCAATGAGATTATGTCCGCATGCATGTCCGATACCAGGCAATGCATCATACTCGCAAATAATCCCCACGGTCAATCCTTTGCCAGCACGGTTGTTATCCGGATCATACACCGCACGAAAAGCAGTTGGCAGTGTAAATTGTGGTGTCACATCAAAACCTTTCTCCTTCAAAGTTTCAGTCAATAATTTATGAGCAAATTCCTCTTGATATGAAAGTTCAGGCTTATTCCATATTTTCAGACTTAATTGATGTAAATCAGCTGAACTTTCATCAATGCAATCATCAGATATTTTGGATAATCTTTCAACTTTATCCATGTTGTTCTCGGTCAGGGAACAGGTAATGTCAGTGGGTAATAACTAGAGTTATTGTTCCCAATGGACACGTCTAAAGAAAGAAGGAAAATTCGACATAGGAGGTTGCCCTTTGAAGTGGAAAATATGAAGATGAAGAGGAGTGTTGTGCAAATACAATTTGTTTTTTTTCCATAAACTGGCAATAATAAAAGCATTGTGTTCTTAAATGGGTTAATGTATTGCCGAAGTAGAGTGGGATAATTTTGAATCAAGCACCGGGAATACGTGGACAAATTGACAGAGAAATTTTAAAGGAAAGAAGGAAACCATTGCGAAGTGGTAGCTTGAAAAGTTCATCCCAAAATGGCGAAATTTAGTGGTGTTCTGCAATTGACTGATCTAGACGACTTTATAACACCCTCACAAGAATGCGTCAAGCCCGTAAAGATTGAAAAAGAGAAGGAGGGGTTGCCAAAATCAAGGTCGAAGATGATGGCAGTTATTATCAACTAAATGCCGGCAGTAAAACGAAATTAGAGAAAGCAAAAATCACGTTAAATGATTGCCTTGCATGCAGCGGTTGCATTACTTCGGCAGAGAGTGTACTAATCACACAACAAAGCCAAGATGAGTTGTATAAAATCATCGAAGAGAATGCCCAGCTAGCCGAAACTGAACAAAAGTTAATCGTTGTTAGTATCTCACCTCAATCTAGAGCGTCCATTGCAGCCAACTTCAACCTGGGCATAAAGAGACAGCTCTAAAACTTACAAGATTTTTCAAAGATTTAGGAGTGCATTATGTTTTCGATACAACTTTTGCACGGAATTTCAGTTTGCTTGAAATTCAGAAGGAATTTGTTGAAAGATATCGTAATAACCCGAATCCAACCAAAAATGTTCCTCTGCTAACCTCGGCGTGCCCTGGTTGGATCTGCTACGCCGAGAAAACCCACGGGCAGTTTATATTGCCGTTCATAAGCACCAAGTCACCACAACAGGTCATGGGGAGTCTGGTAAAAGAGTATCTGGGAAGCAGAGTTGGGAAATCACCAGATAAAGTGTACCATGTGACGGTCATGCCTTGCTATGATAAGAAGTTAGAAGCCTCCAGAGAAGATTTTTACAATGATATATACCACACTCGCGATGTAGACTGTGTGATAACCTCCCTTGAGGTTGAGCAAATGTTCGAAGAAAAGGCGATCGACTTCCCAAGCTTAGCTCACTTCAACTGGATGAAATGATTGAAACCGGAAAGGATTCTGAAATTACCAATCACAGAGGTGGTGGATCTGGGGGTTACCTTGAACATGTTTTCTGTTATGCTGCACAAGCACTGTTTGGGAAAAAAGTTGAAGATCTTACATACAAGACAATGAGAAATAAGGACTTTCAAGAAGTTGTACTCGAACATGAAGATAAACCTGTCCTGAAGTTTGCTCTTGCTTATGGCTTTCGTAATATTCAAAACCTAGTGCAGAAACTAAAACGGAACAAGTGCCCCTATCATTTTGTTGAGGTCATGGCTTGTCCGTCAGGGTGCATTAATGGAGGAGGTCAGATCAGACCTTCTCCAGAGGAGTCATCAAAAGAGTTAATAGAAAAAGTTGCCAAACTTTATAATTCTCTGAAGTCATCTTTACCAGAGAATGATAAAAATGTCCAAGAAGTATACGAAAAATGGCTTGGTGGTCAAATCTCAGAAAGATGTAAGGAAGTGTTGCATACAAGTTACCATGCTGTGGAGAAAAATGTCACTGCTCTAGGAATTAAATGGTAGTTTGAAGGTTTATTAATTAAAAGTTAATCACACAAATACAAGGAAATTAGCTGAGCTGAAATTGTCGAATAAAAACAGGACTTCATCATTTACATAGTTATTTAAAACACGATGTTGAATGAAAATGTAAAAATATAATTTGTATAAATGCTGTGGACAAAATCTCCCAAAATGTTTTCAACACCATTAAGTTCTTGATATATGTTCCTAATGCACCTTTAGACATGCAATTAAAGAATCAATTTAATAAAGGACTTTCTAGTTTTTTTGTGTATGTGACCATAGCCTAAAGTATAAAATCTATCATTTTTGAACGCATAAATAAATCAATTCACACAAATAAATAATAAAAAAATGTTTAAGATTTCTGTTCAAATTCTTCAACTACTGATTTTAAAAGCTGAGTGTCTGCCAAAACATCAATTGATGTCATCGCCATTGACTTGCCAGCTATTAACACCTTTGCCTGGGCTTCAGGTTTGCTAGCTGCATCTTTGAATTCATGCGTGTGGATCACTGCTGGGAATTGATTGTGAATGCAGGATGTATAGATGGTTTAACAAGGGATACATTTCCCATGTCTGTTGAACCAAGCAATGCGTTTTCTGCCTCTCCTTCTGGGAGAAATTTCACTCCTAAACTTTCAGCATATTTCTGGTACAACTTGGCTAAAACTTGGTTATGTTTCATAGCAGCATAATTTACATTGTTCTTCCCATATCCATGACACTCAACTTCAACAGTGCAACCTATAATAAATTTAATTACACATTCCATAATATGTTCTGTGCAACATAACCTTTAAGTTGTTCAAGGAGGCCATCATTATGTTTAATTTCCAGAATTGAATACAAGACTGGGAAAATTACCTGTAGCACTTGCAGCACCTTCCCAGCATCCTTTTGCTTTCGCCATTAAATCGACAAGCTCCTCGTTGTCTGGGGCTCGGAAATAGTATTTCAAGACGGATGTATCTGGTATGATGTTTGGTTTCACACCACCATCTTTGAACACCATGGACGCGCCATGTGGCTTC